AATGTTCATGAGCTGTGACGGTACGATGCAAGGCACGAAGCGAAGGTGCACCTCCATAAGTTTGCGTTTTACTACCAACCACAAAAACAGTTCATGTCTGACCAAATACTACACGCCTAGCGTCGCAGAATTCCGAATCTTCTTGTTATTCTAGGTATGAGAAAATCACGTATGCGCGTCCCTAAGACTCGTAAGTTCGTGATGAGAAGCATTCACTTTGCTTTTGAACCAGCGCAGTGTTTCCCATGACGGACCTCACCTCAGTGCACCTCAAAGCAACCAAACCATGGCCATGTTCTTTACAAATACCCTTTAACAATCGAACAAAAACACTACAACAAGGAGAAAACTAAATCGATCCTCCACCAAATTCTCCACATATATAACCCTGAAAAAATTTTACGCTCTTAAATTTCGCGCGCCACACCTACATAAGGTACTGTAGCTAGTGTCGCGGACTGCGTGGATGATTCCTCGTGAATGGTAGAAGGGTAGCCACGCAGTGGTGGGCCGTTGTTGTGTTGCGAGTTGGGTGGTTTCGTCATTTTAAGCACCTTCTTTGGAGGGTCCGCTTCACCGTCCGGCGAAATGGTTAAAGGGGTGGGTGAAGTACGCTTGATTTTGCTTCCAGATGATTTTCTGGTTCTAATTGGTGTGTGTGTGGGAGTCGTCGTTTGTGCGTCGTGTTTATTTTGCAGTTTAGTTGCTTTCAGAAACTTTATGGCAACAAAGACAACTTCAGGACACAGAAGGTCCTGATCGCGGCAAAGCTTGGAGATGCCGAGTTGCAGTTGGCCGGCGAAGTTCCGCCTGCTGATAAGTTCCCGCTTGGCGTGGTACGTCTTTAAATATCGTTGCTCATATTTGACTAATCACGTGGCAATTCGGTGCTCATGGACATCGTGAAAAACTAAATCAGGCAGTAGTGTTTTACGCCGTCATATTTTATTAGGTTCTGGTGATATGCTGCTTCGTTCTTCTATGACGATTAGATTATTTCAATGAAACTTATAAATTTAAAGTGGAGTTGGGTTGATTTATTACTAAATTCTTGAGGCTCAGTGGATGCAATTTGTCGCAGGGCCAGATAATTAGAACCGTGACGGAATCGTTGAGGGGAAATCATACCAGTTCCTGCTCTTTTGGTATCTCAAGTGTTACTGATGAAATTGCGACAGCTACACTAGCCAAAGTGGATGTTCCAGACTCTTTTAAATTAATGTCTTTTTTTAGAAACTGAGTGCCGTGATGAGTCAACTCTTACCAACTACCCAAAATTGGACGTTCCTAAGACCCTGTTCATAGATCGCTGACTTTGCCTTTTTGCCGCGCGACAGGCCTCCTGGGGGGTACCCGAGGTGCCCGCGAACTGGCTGACTTCGCGGGCACCTATGAACTCGGCCGCGGCCGCGCCCAAATGGTTAGGTATTGTCTGGGAGCCCTTAGTCCTGAGGGGCCACTGTATTTCGAAACTGCGTCGCGGCGATGGAAACGGCCCCTCAGGACTAAGCCTTGGAGGGCACAGACGAACAGACGCCGCGCCGCCGCGTGGTCACCATCAATTACGGTAGCACCCAGGCTGATTTGAGATTAGTGAATGAGTCACCTCGGGCATGGTCGGCAGAATAGGCTGACAATGGGAGGATCCCTATTCCATTTCTATGAGTTTTTTTTTTACGATCGCATCAACTTTGGGGGAGGTCAGACGCCAGCGAAATCGCACAAGTCACTGTTAGGCAATTGAGAAGCAGTTTGCTATTTATGCCTCTACTAATGGCTTGGACACCATTACTATGGGCTGGTGTTCGCAGGGAAAAATTTTTCATTCGGTCGCAAATGATTTGATAAAGGATACTTCTAAGATCAAACCGTCTGCGTTGGCTTTTTTTTTAAATTTTTTTCCTTCCGGAATTTCAGAATCTAAATTCAGGCTACAATTTGCACTGAAGAGCCCTCAATTTAGGGATATAAAAGTAAGAAATGTGCTCAGGGGTCCTTCCCTTAGTCCAAGTAGAACGATATCTTGACTGGGTGCACCTCCGAAGCGTCACTTTTTGCACGTTCCTGGCGTCAGGAAAACTTTGATGGTAGGATTTTGGTAACTAAAACCTAGTAATATAGATATGGGTGATTCCAGTTTTGCTGTGCACGTAATCAGGCTGCCTGTATGGGCTGTAGGAATTGATGCAATTCGCCGGGGTTATCGCAAGATTTGGGGGCATGTGGTGATAGTGCAGTTAAACCTGTATAAGGCATCTCCTTTTGTTTAACCCATTGCGGACCGCGTGCTGCACCATGTGCGGCACGTTGGCGCACAGAAATGAATAATTGTGTTTGATTGTAGCACACACCCAAAGTCATCGTTAACTCTTTTTGTGCACCAAAACTGTCTATATTATACGGTGTTAAGACTAGAGATTATTGGGTACTGATGGGCCAGTCTCCAAAACCTACGGAGGTGCTCACATAGCGGCGGTATGCAATGGGTTAAAACGGGACCAAACCTCAGGCGAGGAACGAAGGCTCCTGTATGTGTACCGGTTTCCATTTTCCTCATAGTTCCTGCTTCTTCCCAGGCTTAGTCTTGGAGGATGCCTCGTGTTTGTATGGGATAATCCGTATATCTTCCTCAAAGTTACCACTTCGTGTGGTTCTCTTGTCGACGCCCCTTCGTCCTTTTTTTCTGTATTTTGTGCGGGTTTATAAGGTTGGTGCGAGCAATTGTGAGCCAGAAGATTAAATTTTTGTATCAGGGTATGGGCGATTGATTTTGAGAACTCTCTTCCTCACTTCCTCAAGCTCTTTATAGTATAAGTTCACTAGGTACATGTTGCTTGTAAAAGTGTGTATTTCTCAAGTCGTGGGTGCGTTATTGCAAAATGTCCATCCTAGGATAGCGACGTTTGTGTCCTATTTAGATTTTATTCCACATTGTACCTCACGAGTTCTTCAGATGCGTTCAGCGAGCGCATATTTATTGTAGCGTCGAAGCACTAGACGTGGAAACAACGGTTTCTATTAAGATCTCCAGAAATTTCAAGTGGGTAACTGCAGCTTTAGAGAATTGTCATAGATCATTAGGTTGCTGGGGCTCCAAAAGCTTATATAAGTATATTGCCTTTCAGTACCGGTTGTTTTGCTGAGGACTTTCAGTGCTTTTACGGTGTCATGATTGACGCTTTTCAAATTATCGGGTATTTGTAACAGTCATGGAGGAGAGTTTGGTGAGGCTCCGAGAACGTGCGTGAACACGAACAAACCTTGCTATCCATAAGCGGACGAAAAGTAGATGTTCGTATAAATAAAACAGCCACATACACAGGCGTGCGTAGTCACATGCAGCCCAGCAGTAAAGAGAGCCATGAGAGTTTGCAACTCGAAAGAAAATCGTTTTTCCCTTCGGAGTGCATCGCTTTCAACTTGAACAATATCAGCGCCACTGCTCTACTCTTTGCTTGACAATGCGTCTATCGCTGACCATGTGCTTATTTTGCACAGCTGCCGCTCCCTCAAAATGAAAACGTTTTGCTAGGACGGTTCCCTCTCCTGTTTT